TCCCCATAGTGGGGAAAATAGATGAGCACATGTCCAGACTCCAGAACAGTGTATTATTGTATAGTGTGGCACAGCTATATCCAATTCTGCATATCTGGCTTTTTATTATAAAGTTCAGGTAAAGCCAGGTATGCAGAATTGGATATAGCTGTGCCACACTATACAGTGTTCTGGTCTGGAGTCTGGACATGTGCTCATCTATTTCCCCCTCTATGGGGATACAAGCCTTAGTTAGCAATGGCATGATAAATATTAATTTCATGTTCATTTCATGTTCTTCATAATATTAAGAAACTGACCTAAAATCATGATTTTGTATTGCTTTAGAAAAAATGTGACCTGTCCCTTTAAGAAAAAGTATTAGTAATTGGTATCCGTGAGTACTTGAAAAAAAAGTATCTGTACTCGGTCTTAAAAAAGTGGTATCGGAGCATCCCTAGTTTGCATTGTATACCTGAACCGAGCTAGCAGCTGATTGGCTAACAGTTCCATTCAGCCAAGATTTTTCCAACCTGCTCTTTCGATAAGCTGGTTGGCATCCACTGAGTGATTTTCAGCCTGTTCATTAGGAACCATCTGAAATTCATACCGTGTGTATTAGGGCTGCACCAATATATTGTCCGAAAATGGCACTTTGGCAAAATGCCAAAATTGCCATTTTCTGGCCGATATAGTGGTGCATTCGTTGTTATTCTCCTCCCCGTTGGACGGTGCTCTGTGTCCCAGCAGGGAGGAGAGAAACCGTCACAGGCGTCCGAGTGCTGCAAGTGGCCGGCATCTCTTCTCCCCGCATCGCTCAGCCTCCTGTCACAGATCGGTGTGGGCGGAGACAGCTTGCAGTGCTGTCACAGGAGGCTGAGCTCCGCTCACTCAGCCTTGTGTGACAGTGTATCAGGAAGGAGAGTGAGGTACAAACACTCAGTGATCGCTGAGTGTTTGTAAATAATTGGAGGACAGAGTATGGTTACTATATCCTCAATTATGAATGAATGGGAAGTGATCTACATCACCACCTGTTCATTCATGATTGTGGATATAGTAAACATACTCTGTCCTTGAGTTAAGAACGAACAGGAACACTGAGTATAGAGCCCTGGTTCTCAACTCATGGGTCGCGACCCAAAAGTGGGTCGCGAGCCCGTCTGCAGTCGGTCGCTGCGCCCTTCCTGCAGGGAGCAGCCCATCTTCAGTAGGGAGACATAGAGGGGGGGATTTTTTGTCAGCCCAAGGGAACTCTGTGTTGTGAAACTGTCCCCCATCTCCCCGCTCCCCCCCATCTCCCCGCTGAAGTAATAGGGCCCGGGAAGAGACGGGACTATTTTCTCACTTTCGGCCGGCGGAATGATATTAAGAGCTGCAAGTCCCGACAAGAAAGTTAAAGTCCCGGTCTGGAGTACAGAGTGCAGCAAATATCAAGCCACCTCAGCGCGGCGGATTGCTATCAAATAGGACTGCCTGGAAGCTGAGAAAGGTAGGCAGGGGGATGTGTATAGTTAGCTGGATTAGCATTTGTAATAGTAATTAAAAAGAACAACGAATGTTACTGCAACAGACTAGGCTTGTAATACATAATGTCACCTGTCAGTGCAAAAGCTGGGGGGAGGGGGGTTTCTACTTGCAACAGAGCCCCTGCTAATGCCCCCCTACAGACCCCCACCCCCTCCTTCTGCAATGACCAGGGACGCTGATGGACATTATGTTGTCCAAGCCCATATAATGCCCATCAGTGTCCCCTGTCATATTGTCTCCTGTCAGTGCACTATGGATCATGGTTTAACCTATTCATGTTAGCAGTGGAGAATTGTAACTCTATTGTTGGAGTGTAGTGGAGGTGTGTGCTGTATATATGTACTACATATACATTACACATGTCCAGTACACTATAGCAATAGATTTACAGCCAGCCCCGCCCCAGCTTCCCTCACTTACAGTTTCACTCCGATCCCTGTTGCCTCACGCGGTGCCTCTTGTAGTCGGCGCTGGGCAGGATCGCTGCATCGCGTCTCGGTGCCCAGCCTGTGGGAGGCGCTCACAATTCTGCAGTGCTAACATGAATAGGTTAAATCATGATCCGCAGTACATATAGATATACAATTCTGCACTGCTAACATGAATGGGTTAAATGATCCGTAGTACAGGGCTACATATCATGTACTATGGATCATTTAACCCATTCATGTTAGCAGGGGATCATTGTAAATCTATTGCTGCAATGTACGGGACATTTGTGCTGTATATGTACAGTACATATAGATATACAATTCTGCACTGCTAACATGAATGGGTTAAATGATCCGTAGTACAGGGCTACATATCATGTACTATGGATCATTTAATCCATTCATATTAGCGGGGGATAATTGTAAATGTATTGTTGCAGTGCATTCTATATGTAGTATATAGTACATGTACATATACATATAGAGCGCCTGAAACAATACATTTACAATTATACTCTGCTAACATGAATGGGTTAAATGATCCATAGTCCACTAAATCTGCCCTCACTCACTGTGCCGGAGAGAGCAGGGACCAGTCAGCGGCAGCGCTGGTCCAGTGGGAGGAGCTCCAGGTGGGGTCCTAATTAAGCTGACTCAGAGGTGCCGGCCAGCTAAATTAGAACCCCACATGGAGCTCCTCTCGCCGGACCAGCGCTGACTGGCCGCTGCGGGTTTTTTGTTTTCTTACTTACCTTGCAGAGCGTCGCGTCACTGCTGCTCCGGTGGGCGGCGCTCCGAGCGGGGTCATCTGGCAGTCTCTGGCCACCTAAATTAGGACCCCACCTGGAGCTCCGCCCACCGGAGCAGCAGTGACACGACGCTCGGCGAGGTAAGAAAAAAAACATAGCGCAAACTTCGGCGCTATGTATTGGGGCATTTTGACAGGTACAAGTACTTGTCAAAATGCCCTGTATCGGGCCCGATTCCGATGCTAGCATCGGTATCGGGACATCCCTAATAGATTTACTTAAAAAATTATTTATATTGTCTGTTGTGCATTAATATCTTGTTTTTGATCAGTTAGGTCCTATAGAGTGATCTATAGGTACCTTATCTGTGTGACAGAGAACCTAAAAGATTTCAGTTTGCCACACATTTGTTAGCTAGTAAATATGCCAAGGGCTGATTCACACAAACCTTTATGCTGCGGATAAATGGCAGCCTTTGATGTGACATTTTTCAATAATTTCTGTGACTGAGCAGACCTGCCATTCAGACACAGGTGGAAACATCTGTGGAATAATTGAATAATGTGAGGAAAAAAACAACAAGATAAAAATAATCAGCCCAGTGTGAATGAGGCCTTATCTGCAGCCACTCAGCTCCTCCACCGCAACTGGGAAGATGCACGGGTTTCCCGAACTTCCTGGTTGCGGGAGAAGGTACCGAGGGCAGAGGAGCCATAGGATCCTTCTTCTGGCAGTTATGTTATGACTGCAAGGGTGGGGGTGTGGCTGGCTGCACACCGTGTGCATCTATGGATGCACACAGCTAAGTGCGTAACCATGCACGTACGGTTGCCTCCACAGCAGTCGGCTAGCTGATGGAGGCAACTTGTTTTGGTTTTGGGGGTTTTAAGTAATCTTCAGACCGAACATGTGCATTTTAACATGTGTGCAAAAAATTAAAAACAAAGAACGGAAAACCTCTAGTAGCAAAATGGTTAAAAAATAAATTTTATGACATATTACTGATCACAGAGCTGCATGCATTAACCCCTTGCCGTCCGCCCATTGTAAAAAAACAGGCGATCGGCGGATGCTTCCCGGTGGGGTCACGAAATTGTACGTCATTTTGTTTTCTGCTCACGGGCGCGTGCAAGCAGATCACTGCCGGGAGTGTAAACAGCCGCTATCGGCTGTTTACATACAAGCGTACGGCCGGCTTTACAGTCGGCCGATCGCTTGTAATACTATACAATACACCCCCCCTCTGTTGCGGCACTCCCTCCCTCCCCCACCGCTGCCAGTTATGCCGGGCTCCACTGTCCCCCCTGCGAGCCCGGGACCGGCAGAGCAGCTGCCCGTACAGAGAACGGAGGAGAGATCAGCATTTCCCTGATCTCTCCTCCGTACTCTTTAAAGGCCGAAGCGTTGTGTATTACATCACTTCCGCCTTTAGCTGTCATTTCTCAGGCTGAGAGCCAGAGAACAAGCTGATGAAGTAGATCTCTGCTTTATCAGCTTCTTGGGGGGCCCCATGTGACATTAGGGGTCTTAAAGACCCCTGATGTCTCCATAAAGAGGACCTGTCATTGTTTTTGGCTATCACATGGGGGGCTTTCAGCGAAAACAACGATTACGCCACACATGTTACATATCGCTGTGAACGTCGCAGTGAGAGCAATATTTTTAGGCCCATCAATCACTGATTACACTAAAATGATGAGCGGTACAAGCTTTTAAAGCGTCGTCTATGGCCAATTTTAGGCATGGTAGTTATTTGCGACTTTGCAGACGCACGCAATTTTACAGCTTGACATGTTTGGTGTCTATTTACCCAATGTTACCCCGCCTTTAATATTTTACCAAAAAAATGGGTAATAATAAATGTTTTATAACATAACTTAGGGAAAACAGTTTTTTTTTTTTCAACATTTTTCGGTACCATTTTTATTATATAGTAAAAACTGAAAACCCTAGTTGTGATTAAATACCACCAAAAGAAAGCTCTATCTGTCCCCAAAAAATTTGATTAAAATAATTTCAGTACAACGTTGCATGACGGAATAAATGTCAGTCAAAGTACTGCAGCCTGAATACTGGAAAATGGCCTGGGCAGGAAGGAGGCTTAACATCAGCAAGTGGTTAAAATGTGTTTTTTGATGATTTTTTTCATTTTTTTTTTTTATGTACACTAATGTTTCAGTTGTAGCTGAGCCATATTTGAAAAAGATAATTTACATTTTTAACCATACTGTAGTAAATGTATCTTTAAGTCTATTGTGTACACTTAGGAAATTGTCTGATCTTTTAACATGTAATACTAATGTCTTGGTAGAGTGAAATGAGACAAGACGGTATTGGGATTTCAGAAGATTTGTCAAGCGAGGAAGATACAGACACAAGGAATGAATTCATGTTTCCACGGAATGTAGAAGGGGCATCAAGTGATAATGGATGCACTTTAACAAGGAGGAACCTGAATTCATCTGTCAACAAGAGATGCCAGGTTACTGTTAGAACAAGGCTTTAGCTAAATACTTATTGATACCTAATTATATTCTTATCTAACCATTTTTGTACTTAAAATGTCATTTTAAGATTTCTCTCCATAGCTAAACTAAGAACCCCTGTATACTAGGCACAATAAAGTGGCAGATACTATTTTTAAGTAAAGTGCGCCTCCATACAGCACCCCATGGTTGCTCAGGCATGCCCCACATCACAAGGGACTGTACTCTGACCTGGCAAATGATTGGGCAAGTAGCAATACTGTCACATGTTGCGGAATGGGGTGTTCCTGTTCCCCAAAAATTGGTGTTTTTGCAAAGGGTCCCTTTATTTAAAGGTAGCATCCGAAATCTTTTGGGGGTGACTGTCCAAGAGGAAGCAATGGGTTATTAGCATTGGTCAATGCTCAAGAATACCTTATCTATTATCTATTTAATCTAACATAAAATCAATTATGATGCTCATCATATATGAATGTGTGCTTTATTTATAGGAACATTTTGTGAAGTAGATGTGTCTACTCCTTTCTCAGTCTAATCTCTTTGGACTGCTCTGTCCATGTTGTTTGAGTTAAAAGCTGTATTAGAGTCACTGAGTTAACCAATCCAGCATCCGCTGCTCAAATACTTTCCACTTGTCTTGTCTTATACTTTCTTTTCATAATAGCCATTCAGTGGAGATGCTGATAGCAGGACAAGGAATAAAGGTAATTGGTGTGTCATCTAACGGCTATATATCCAAATTGCATGTTTTAATATTTTCTAAAAAAAAAAATTGATAAAGCAGTGAAAAGTCTGAAAATCAAGTTGCATTACTGCACATGGTTGGGTCCCCAGGTCCCACTATCGATGTCCGTTGCGCCTAGGACTGTCCCTATAATGAGACAGCCTCAGGCGGCATCTTTTTGGGTCACATGAGGTGGCAGCAGGCAGAGAAGCATGTTTGCAGTGTGCCTGTTGCACCCTTTTCAGCCAGAGTGTCCTGGGTTGCTAAAAGCTGAGCGAGATGTGTATGGCCCTTACTGCTCATTTTTTTCTAGGTTCAAGAAAAAAAAAGCAGACTGCTGTGACAGTGCTCCCTCCTGCTTCTCCCCGCCTACGTTGTAGTGATGGTATGTCCCTCGGCGTCCTTGCGTCCTTTACACTGTGTATAGAACATGACTGAAGGACCTTAGACCGCTGCAAAGGAGGGGGAGTGAGGCTGAAGCAACCGGTTTAAGAGCAAGCCGGGGGGGGGGTGTGTCCCGGTCGTAATGGCGGCTGGTCGCACCTAACGTTAATGTGAGCTCCACGCTCCACGCTACCCGACCACACATATGCACACAGACATCCCGAATACCAACCGGGTGTATCCCTGAGGAATGCGAAGGATGAACCGCAAGAAAACCAGCAAGCAAGGAGCACCGAAGGCCCCTAGTACAGGCTCGATCCAGCGCTATATGGCGTCCGAGTCTCTGAACCAGTCACAGGGCTCGGGGGCTCGCTCGAGTCTTTCTCCCAGACAGTCTCCACGTCAGAGGGTGGCGGACTCTCCCAATCACGGACCAGATCAGGGGGGTGAACTGGAGTGCTCAGCAACACTATCTATGGAAGAGATGAGGAAAATGCTCCCTACAAAAAACGAGCTGGCAGGAATGGTTGCCCAGCTAGAGCAATCTCTGAAAATGGAAATAGAAACTTTGAAGGAGAGATGACGCACCTGTTACACCGAGTGGAAGAGGGAGAATCGCACTTAGACTCTCATTCGGAGGCGATAAGGGCCCTTCAGGTGCAGACGGATTCACTGAGCCGGGCGCAACGTACTATTGCTTATCGCCTGGATGACCAGGAGAACAGGGGCCGCAGGAATAATCTGCGGGTTCGAGGCCTACCTGAGGCTATAACCGACTTAGATCTGGTATAAACATTAAGGGGCATCTTTAACAAAATTTTGGGACAAACACCATCCACTCCCTTGATGTTTGGCCGCATACACCGTGTTCCGCGACCACGCAATTTAGCACTTGAGACACCGCGGGATGTCATCTGCCGCTTTCACTGTGTGGAAAAAGAGAACATCATGCGGAAATTGCGGGAACAACCACCGATGGATTATGAAGGAGCTCGCATTCAGATATACCCTGATTTAGCCCGGGAGACTTTAGCACGACATAGGGCCTTGCGCCCGCTCCTGGAGAGTCTTCAATCAGCGGGTATTAACTACAGATGGGGATATCCGTCTTGTTTAATGGCGTGTAAAAATGGGAGAATTGCAATACTACGAGTTCCAGAAGAATTACCACAATTCTGTGAGACGCTCTCTATTAACATACCTCAACTGTCGGGATGGCAGGAGTCAATACCGGACAGTGAACCCCTCCCGAGCAGCGACTGGATACTGGCGGGGGCTTCCTCGCAGCAGGCAGACCGGTCAGCTGGAAGGCCTCCTGCCTTTTTTTTTTCTCTTTATCATTTTCCATTGTTATCTTTAGGGATGTAATGATCTTACTACGATGAAAATAGAACTCCCCCAGTGTTCCCCCCGCTTAAATGGTGGGAACGCACGGTGGACCTCAAAAATTGTGCGGGTGGGGCGCGTGGGGGCATGATGGTGTGAACCTCTCTCTGCTTAGCCCTGTATACAGGAGCGTGCTACAGACGGAGGCCACACGGCTCAGACACGTTCCCCACAATGTGCGATTTCAGCTCTAATGAGCTGGCACGAGTCCAAAATGTGGACTTAGGTCACGGTCATGGTGACCCTTACTTGTGGTGTTATATGTATGTAAGGTTTTTTCGTTTTTATTCTTTAAGTATATGTTTTTTTCTTTTTCCATCTTTTCTTCTCACACTCTTCACTCGTTCTGGGGGACATCCGGCACTAAAATGAAGGATAAAAATTATGCTATAGCCTTGAATGCCAATGGCCAACCTTAATATATTAACATACAACATCAGGGGTCTCAATACACCTGCTAAAAAGCACCAATTGATGCATGAACTAAGGCGACTACGCTGCGATATAGCTTCCCTACAGGAAACGCATTTATCTCATCATACGCAAATATGCCTCTCTTCCCCGTACTATCCCCTGTGGTACTACAGTACCTCTGACTCAAATAACTTGAGGGGTGGCCATCGGCATCCATAGGAATGTTACATTTAGACTCGTTTCCACAATGGCAGATCCAGAGGGGAGATACCTCTTCCTTAGGGGAACCATTGATAACCAACTGTTTACACTGGTCTCAATATATGCCCCTAATAAAGCCCCGACGGTATTCCTCCTTTTAGAGGAATATGAGGAAGGTATAGTTATTTTTGCAGGGGACTTTAATTTACATTTGGAGCCTTCTCTTGACTCATCGGCAGGCCGCTGTCATATATCCTTTAAATGGCTCAAATCTCTTAAAACATTATTACATGCGTTGCAACTGGACGTTTTTGTTGTTAAGAAGCGCCAAAAGCAATCCTTATCCCTCACACCAAGGAGGAGTACTGAGCATATATGCAAGGCGCAGCCCCACAGCAGTCAAGGGAACTGGAACATCTAGAAAAAAGCAAAAAGAGGGGCGCCTTTCCTAGTGCAGAATTGTTTAATCCAATAAATCATCAAAATTGTACAGACAGGTACTCACAAAGTGGATGTAAAAACGAGCAGCAGGACAATAAAACCGGAGCAGAGCAAGGATCCGTGCGGAGTGTCCTGTGTAAAACTCACTGTGGTGTCAATGCGTTTCCAGGGCACGCCCCCTTCGTCAGGCGTTGCAACTGATCGATACCTGGAGGATTTACCATCCTCGAGATAGGGACTACACTGTATATTCACCAATACCAATACGATTAGACTTTATTTTTATAGACCATTACCACCTTGGGACCATACAGGATATAAACATTCTCTCTGCTACCCTATCAGATCATGCCCCGGTAATGTTGTCCCTGAGACTCTCAGGGGTCAGCCGTCCACCATTCATGTGGAGACTAAATGAATCCCTATTGTGGGACGATAACATTATCGTCGATAATATTATCAGCTTTAACAAAAGATCTCTCCAACTATTTTATTGAAAACACTGGAGGTGACATGTCACCGGGCATCGTCTAGGAGGCACACAAGGCCACAATTAGGGGATCCCTTATTCTTTATGGGTCGCGTAAAATGAAAGAAAGAAATCGTAAGAGAACAGAGCTCTCAGTAAGAGTGGCTACATTAGAACGGATCCATAAAGAATTACTGACAGACCAGGCACTTCAGGAATTGACAAGGGCGAGGGAGGATTTGAAAGAAGTACTATCCTTTAAATATAAGAGATCACTTAATTATCTCTCTCAATGCTCTTATGAACTGGGTGACAAACCAGGGAAATCCCTAGCCAGGCTATGGAAAGACCGGCAAAGCTCAAACTTTGTGGCCAAAATAAAAACCAAACAGGACGTTATGGTAAATATAACATCTGATATTTCCAACGTCTTTAAGGAATATTATAAAACCCTGTATAATGTAAGACCCGAATCTACCACCCAAACTCTAGGCCAACACTTGGAACGCATTCAGACTTACTTAACTCCAACTCTTCTCCCCTCATTAACTAAACACCACCTGGAAAGTTTAGAATCTCCTATAAGTATAGAAGAAATTAAACAGGCTATAGCCGCAATGGCAAATGGGGAAAAGCCCGTGCCTTGATGGCTATACATCACAATATTGTAAAAAATTCCAACATATACTGCTCCCCCACCTATGTGAGTATTTTAACTCTTTCTTCCAAGGCACACCTCCACTTCCATCAGCGTTACATGCTTACATATCCGTATTTTCTAAACCGGGTAAGGACCCAACCACATGTAGTAGTTATAGGCCAATATCATTACTTAATACAGACATTAAGATTTACGCTAAAGTCCTGGCAACTAGACTTAATGGCTTAATATCCCATATAGTAACACCTGATCAAACGGGATTTATCCCTGGCAGGGAGGCTAGAGCTAGTACCCAGAGGGCGATCGACTTAATACATCAGGC